CAGCTGCCCGCGGGAGAGCGGTCCCGTCCCCGGGTGTCAGCCCCGCGCTCCGCGCTCCCGGGGGGTCGGCATGGTGAGCTCCGGGCAGCAGGGCGACACCTAGTTGAGTAAGGAGGGGTGAGAGGAATCGGAGCAAAGAGAAACAAGTGATGCACCATACAGTCACACAGCACCTGCTGACTGATGCCCAGCCCGTCCTCCAGCAGCGATTGGCAATTCCTGGCCAGCTCTGCCCAGTCTGTGTGCTGAACACTACGTTCTGTGGTATGGAATGTCCCTTTGGCCAGTTCAGGTCAGCTGTCTGATCTGTACTGGGTCCTGGCTTTTTGATCACCTGCTCCGTGTCGGAGCGTGGCAAACTGAAAAAGACGTAGAGTACGCGCTACCTAGCAGCCGCTAAAACATCAGTGTGTCATCAACATTATTCTTGTACTGAATTCAAGATGCAGCAGTGTACCAGCTTCTGAGAAGAAAATTATCCCAGCTGAAAACAGGACACTGGGTTACTGTGCCCAGGTCAAGGTGCGATGTTGTAGTCCAGCTGCTCACAACACTCAGTGCCCATTCCCCCTTCTGTGCCCCCACATCTGTGTGCTTCTTGCCCATCTATTAATCTGACTGCAGATGGTCTCAGCCTTCCTCTTAGTGAAAAACTCCAGCCTAAAGGTTTGCAGAAACATAAACCAAACCCAGCAGTAACACAAAGCACGGTTGGTCAGTTTTTCAGGCAGATATCAGGTTCTGTTTCCAATGAACTTAGGAGCTAGTCTATAAAGATATGTTTGGAAAATAGTGTTTTAAAAACACTTTCATTAGACGTTTTGGCAGACAGTGTATGAGGACAACGATAGCTAAGTTAAGAATGAACAATATCTTTCATTTATTGATCTTCAAAGTCTTGCATTTGTGCCTGAAATCTATGAAAAAACAGAGGATGAGCAAACATTACCATAAGCAGGTTTACAAATTTATTAGGTTAGCTCTTTTGGGAATCATGTTTTCACGGGAGAGTAGAGAGCTCTTTTTCCTTCTCCATTGCTTTTTGGTCACATTCACATGAACATTGTGTTTACTCTTTATCATGTAGAAAGACATCTATAGTGTGCTCAAGTGAAAAATTGATCCATATTTAAGAACACCAAGAAAAACTATGTATTTAAAGTAAACTTGAAAGTGTATTTATAGGAAAATTTATTTAAAGTTAAAAAAAATTATGTGTTCTGCATTTACTGTGTGAATACATACTGTTTTAGTGATTTCTAAGACAAGCTATTAACAAAAACTTTGCAGAGCACCTGCAAAAGACGGGAAATCCATCTGGATCACAAGACAAAGTTTCAGTTCTTGATTCTGGACCAGAAATGTCTGAACCTAAGTTGGCTGTGGCTCCTGTGGTAATGTCGAAGTTGTCTGCGAAAGCACCTGAATTTTATCCATCAGGCTACAACCAGACCTTCAATCCGAATTTCACCGTGAGTGTTTTTACTTCTTTCCTGGGTATATGCCAATTTACTGACACTAAAATTCACAACATTTTCTTGAGATCTCTTAGGGATCTCTTCAGCAAATACAGAGCTCAAGTTACCTGATATTAAAGATAAAAAGAACTCTGATTGTAACCTCCAGAGTCACAGTCAGAATATTAAGTGGTAATGGGTGAATGTTATGGTATAGAGGAGAGTCTTTAGTGTAGGAAATTTTGCCAAAGCTTGCTGCAGGTAACCACATTCCTGGTTGATTACACCAAGTATTAGTTGCATCCAACATGAGAGTGAGCTATTTTTTTGGCAACTACCTGTGTTGCAGTTAATATCCGTGCTGCATTTTAAGTAAAGGCTTAGCTGCACTTTTATGGAGAATTCACAGGTTTTTGAAGAAAGTGTGGGGGAAAGCTGGAACTTCAGCTTTTCTGAGCACAGGCTTTGCCTTTCCTGAATTTCCTGTGCCACAGGTATGATTCGTCATGACTGCCTAACTCAGTGTGGCATCATGTGTCTTGTAGTTCCTTCAGTGGTAGTGTGACACTAAAGGACAAAAAGGTAGGGAAACACTCATTCCCAGCAGTTACCTGCCTGCACACCTAGTAAGAAATATATGTGCAACCAGACTGAAGGTGATCTCAGATCGATATGGTAGATGCATCATGTAGTAGAAGTTGGTACTTTTATTTTCTCCCCCGTTGCCTTCCATGTTACTGTTTCAGTAATTCTATGCCAGGGAAGATCTGTGTGAATTCTTGGAATATCCTTTTGTTACCCTAACAGCCAGACTCTGGTACTATATCTAAACAAGTGGAAAGTATTACAAATAGAATGAAATTATAGAAAACAACAAGCAGAAGCAAATAGATTTTGAATAATTTGTAGAAAAATACTTCATTTGAATGCTAAATATGGTGGTTTGGTGTTTTGAAATCTTTTCCTCCCCAGTAAAATTGATGTTACCAGCTTTGAGGGCTCTCCAGGATAGTACAAACCCGTAGCCAATATACAACTGTTAACAAAATCCGAGCGGTAACATGTTCAATGAACGGACTGTCTAGCTGAGAAGTAACTACTTTGCTCCAGTACAGGTTATATTGTTTCTTTAAAGCGTTTTAATTTCAAGAACAAAAAAAGAGCCATTTGGAATGGCATAAATTGTGCACACTTAAAATTGCAGAAGGTCTAGGCCACAGTGTTGCTTTTCAGCTGTTTTGCAAAAGCACCACAAGCATGTGGGAGTTCCTGGTTGCTATGTTGTAGGAGTATCCTATGAATATGACTCATGTATTAATAAAAATACCTCTTAAAATTAGGAAAACCTAGAGCATTTATTTGGAAGTATGTTTCAGGGACTTCCATCAGAACATACCAGGCATAGAACAGTGACATTTCAGACTTTCAGCCTTTCCTACTACAAAATTTGTTGGGTTTTTTACTTTAATGACTGAGTTAATTTCGTAAGCTGGGCTCACTTGCAAGAAAAATAGGAAATTTAAAACACTTGACTATTACACAGATTCTGACCATGGGTTTTAAAATTTGAATCAAAACAAAGTTTTAAGAAACTTCTGTCTTTCTGAATTAAAATTAGAACCTTTTGGCTTTCATTTGTTATGGCCTTTGGAATCTTTAGATGTGAAAACTATTATACACAGTGACTTTGCTGTTAAACACTTACTGGTTTGGAAATAGTGTTGATTTTTTTTTTCTTTGACTATACATTATTGTATTTACTGTCTGTATCCTTATAACATTTGATTATTAGGTAAGTTAATTTCGAGTCAGTTCTGATACTCAAAGCTATCAATTACCTGTGAAGATAGTTTAAGGGGCTGCACAGGCATGCATAGATGGTTCTGTCTGTGCTGTCTGAAGTCTTTGTACTTCAGTTTGCAATAACTTTATTGTAGACTTGTTGAGTTCATGTAATCTAAAGGGAGGGGAAAGCCTGTTCCTATGAAGTCTGAAGAAAAATCAATGATAAATTATCAGTTACGAGATATAAGAAAATGGTAATTAGCACATGCACAGAAACTGAGTCCAAGAGCAGATTTGCCTCATGAATCTTTTCTGTAGACTTTGTTTTATTTTTATGTAAATTACAGGACTTTTAGTACCTATTTGGCCTTCTATTCCTATGTCTATAAAATCATGTTTTGATTGGTGACTCTTCTGTTGTGAAGGATCCCGTCCTGTAGCTATCAGACATGAGGGAGAAGAATTACTGCTGGCTTGACTGAGAAATCATTGGAATGAATGGAAAATTTCTTGTTGACTTTCATGGCTTTGAATCATAAATGAATTGTAATGAATGTGTAATCTTATAGTCTTGTGTTAGCCAATTGCTGTTTAAAAATATTCAAGAGGCATTTCCTTTGTTTTCCTTGAGCTGATACAATGTATGGTGGTATCTGTATGACAAAGCTTAAATTCTGCAATGAGACATGCAAGTAGTTTATGTCTAGAAGTTGCCAGGCTAAATTTAGTTAGTTTTTGAAGTATCAAGTGTAAGTAATTTAGCAATATACAACTTTAGTATGATATTTTAATTACTCATTTTTCTCTGCCATTTGTTCATTTTCCTGGCACAGTTACTAAAACCTAGTCTGCCTTCAGAGTTGCTTATTTAGTACAGGTAGATGAACTAGCACAGAGTTTAGCCTCCGTGTTTAGCCTCTTAATTACAGCATGGAAATTCAGGAATATGCAGGGACGCCAGTATACCAAATGGCCTCAGGATCCCTTACAAAACAACAATCTTCTGCTCCAAGATTGAATTCTTAATAAGTGAGTATGAGAGGAAGACACCTTCCTATCTGCTGAACGAGGATCTCATAGCGATCTGATGGCTGCCAGAAACAGCATCTTCTTTTACTAGCTGCAGTGATTGCATGTTCTGCAACCTGGCTGGAGAGTTTTCCAACAGGTTGTTCGGAGAGGTGCTAGTTCAGCTCTATATGATTAAACTGCAGTAGCTGCACAATAACATGATAGTTCTGTGGAACAAAACAGTTTTAAGCTTATTGTACAGAACTCTGTCTGGGCTATTTGAAAATGCCTAATCAAAGTTGATCTTCTTTGCAAAGCCAAGTATTTAGCAGGTCACACATAGGCCTGTTAGCCTTTACTTTCTGGTTTTGTAAGCCATTATAGTTGTAGAATACCTTGGGTTGGAAAGGACCTCTGAAGTTCCTGTGCTTCAGTCTTCAGCTCAAAGCAAAACCACTCAGATCAGGTTTTTGAAGGCTTTATCCTTGAGGGTAGTAGCAATTTACCAGCATTTCCATAAACCCGTATTTTTTTTCCTGTTTGTGATGGGCAACATGAAGTTACTTAGTCTTTATTATTATTAACTCAGCAAATACTCTACTTGATTAACCATAATAGGAAATCTTTCTAGTTTTACTTTTGTTACATTGATGTGTCCCCCACCTCACTAGCTTAAGTTGTATAACCTTATGGCAAGTGTCTGAAAAATTTTGGAAAGTCTGCTCTTTTCCCCACACATTCTTCACAAGTCATGAAATTAATGTCAGCACTGGATTTTCAACAATGTGTCTGTCTTTCTAAACAGTTCATATCCAGATAAAAAATCTTCACAGATGCATGTTGCTTCACAGTAGAGGAGTGACTGAAGCATTTTAGAGACAAAGCAAATGAAAACTCTTTAAGGGAGGGGTGGTGGGGAGAGGGGTAATATATTTATAAACTTTGTCAGTGTATTTATGTACACTAAGTGAAGAAAATGTTTTTAGCATTTTAGCTCATTATTTCATTGCAGTAGATATACTTTAAATCTTGTTCAGTTGAGAATTCTGATATGTCTTGAATTGCTAATTTTAAGTCATTCTTTAGCAGTCCCTCTTCAGATTCCTCCTTGCACTTCTGAAATCTGTGAGATGCTTCTCACAATCTTTTGTGTAGTGTGACAAAGTGAGTTATTTGTACTCTGTTACTACTAGTGAATTACAAAGTGTGCTGCTTTCTTTGCTATTCCCCTCCTATACTAGGATTATAATCATCCTGACCAGTAGTGACTTTTGACGCTCTTACATTCATTTCTGACTGGACAAAATCAACATTCTTCTGTTCCATCAGTGGGAGCATAAACATTGATAAAGTGATTCTGTGTCAGCTCCTCCTGTCTTTAGGGGGATAGGTGTGTTTACTGTCTGGTTTTTAACCTCAGTATGTGCAAATTAATGGAACACCATCTGAATAGTTTCATTTCATGCCTTGTAACCTTTCATCTGTTGCCAAGAGATGCAAATTTGCTGGCTTTAAAATATCAGTTTTCCTGGTGCATGGGAACACTACACTGTATTTATTGTATTCCTTTAATTTCTGCCCCTGCTGCATATTTCTGGAACACTATACAGACTATCTAAACCCAAAATCCTTTGTTTCAAATTTTCAATTCTTTTTTCTTCTACAGTTCATGTATCCACAGTACAGTTTGTGTGCACATCAGGAATGGGAGTTGAGCCTCAGTTTCGTAGTTTTAACAAATATACTTTGTTTGTTAGTTGATCTTGCACCCAAATGGGGACATTGCTTGATTTCTTTTTAATCCATGTATTTTGCTGAGAGACCCTAATATCTATAAAAATACATTACCTGGTTCTTAAGGTAGTCAAACTACAAGAGTTTTCTCATGTATGTAGAGATTTGAGACTAAGGGCTGTGTGGTTACTTCTGGACATAATAAGTGTAACAATGTTCTTTTTAAGTAGTTGTGTTGGAGAATGGCTAAGAGGGCGGGGACATAATCCTGGGAATGCACCTGGGGAAGGCTAAAAAGAGCAAGGACACAGTCCCCTGGGAACGCACCTGGGAATGCAGTGTGTACAAGCAAGGCTCTGGAGATAGTAACTTATATATAGATAGAGAGTAACTCAGCTGGGCAGATGGTGGGGGCAAGTTGTCCTTGAGTGTGAGACAAACAAGTTTGAGACAAACAGCTAGGAAAGCAGG